AAAGCTGGTCAAAAAAATCTTTAAGAGTTGGGTCAGTATTTTGAAATAATTTTCGCATTTCATCAAAAACGTATATAGGATCTTCTTTTTTTAAATGCTCCCTTTCATAAAGAATTCTTGCTATAGACTTAATTGTCTTAATAAAATTGATCTTGGTACTTCCTTCTGCCGTACCGACTTCTTTTAAATTGCTTAACTCCTCTAATATACTTACCTTCTCTTCCTCCTCCGTCTCTGCCTCTTCATCTACAAGTTGTTCTTTCCCGCTTCTTGCTTTCTTGAGTCTTCTTAATTGGTTTTGAATCAAATTCATATAGCACTGATTGCACAAAATAATACCCTCTACCCAGTTTTCCATCACTAAACCGTTTTCTATAGCCTCTTTCCATTTTTTATCCTTCAACGCACAGAATTTATGAGATTCGGTGGCTTGGCAGTTATTGCATTCCTTCATTTTATATATGTCTTTTGGGGGCAAATCTATATATAAAAGTTGTGAGATTCACTGGGATTCAACTGATATTATTAAAATACTGCACGAAACCTTCAAAATTGCTAGAACGCTACCCCACGTTTTAAAGTTGGATAAGTAACGTGAGCTTTACGAAAAAGTACTTTAAAATAATATAAAAAAAATTTTTACAAATTGTGTAACAGATCTACAAATGATGGGATGGTTCCCTCTATTAAAGTTGATATAACCAGTACAATGTAATTAATTGTAAATAATAACGTTGTTTTAGTAATATTAGAAAAATAAGAATAGAACTAAATATAATTTAGAATAAAAACTTAATAATACCTAAATTAAATGCTAATTCTAAACAATTAAATTCTATATAATTATTACATATAGTTATATCAGAAATAGTAACTACATATAAAACACTCTGTACGTTATACTACGGCTGTTGCCTCTGCTTCGCTTCCTTTTTACTAAAAAAAAACCTAAGATAGCCTATTTTATATTAGTAAAATACCCTAACCCTAACATCTGAAATAGTAACTACATATAAAACACTCTGTATGCTATGCTACAGCTGTCGCTTTCGCTTCGCTTTCGCTTCGCTTCCCTTTTACTAAAAAACCTAAAATAGCTTATTTTATATTAGTAAAATACCCTAACCCTAAATATGAGTAATTAACAAATCATCATTTTGAATACTTTATACCAAAACAGCAATATTATAACTTATTTTTTGTTGACACTGCAATAATCATTGAGATTCTTATATTTAAAAAGTTAATAAAATATAATTCAGCTATACTATTATGCCTGAAGTCGTAACTTTAGGCATAATAGTGCTGAATTTGATTGCTTTGTTAATAAGAAAATAAATCATATGAATGCTATACTTATATTATCAGGTACAAATAAGATCGCTTGAATTGCTAGCTAAAAAATGAATTGACTTTATAATTATATAAATCAAATAAGCCTAATGCTATAGCTCTTATTTACACTTATTCTTAGGATTTAATTTGCAAGTCTTAGCATAATAACCAGTACTATTACAATAAGAACATTTTTGTGATGATTTGTTTGGGATATCAGATTCATGAAGAACTTTATTGTGAACTTTTTGAGAATTCATATCTTTTAAAGTATCTTGTAGTTGTTTTTTTGGTCAACCACGGTATATAATAATACAAAGATTTGTTATACATCCAATATTAACTAGTTCTGATGAGTTATTAGCTTGAACAGCAATAGATTTTAATTCAATAAAGTTTTGTAGTATACCAATCAATTCATTCATTGTGTTAGAATTCAGGGCTATCTGAATTCCTTTTTTAGCAATCCCAATACCTCAGCAATATTTAGCCTTTTTAGAAGTATATTGCTGAATTTCATCATTAAAACAATCTGGCTCTCGAAGTTGTTCGATTATATCAAAGCTATTACTCGACTTATCATTTTGTATCTCTTGTGTATTTGTTGTATCATGTGTGAACTGAATTGTAATTGGTTGATTAAACGCACTTGTAGGGTTTATAAACCACCGTTAAGATATCATTTGTACTTGAAATTTAATATGAGAGGAAACAACCAGGACAGCAAAAAAATGTTGGCAAAAAAAACCTTTAGCAATAAGTAACATACATAAATATATATGAGTACCATCATCTAAAACAATAATGCATTGTTCCTTATAAGATGCTAGAGTACTAAATAATTTAACGTACCAAATCTCATAAATAAATTGATTGCTAACTAATTTAAACATTGATGAAAATAAAATGTGACTTTCTTGATAGTTGTCTTCAATAAATCTAGATGTATATTCTGTAGAATTATTCTAAATTATATATATTAAAAAGATTAGTAATAATATAAAGTTTAACACAGACTCTAATCTAATACTTACTTGATCAAAAATAGAATAATCGACTTATATAAGCGGTAAAGACAAGATTGACTTATTTGAAATCTTTGACAAGCAAGAGCTTCAATAGTTAGGTACTTTTTCAAAATATTATCAATTTGTAAAAAAAAAGTACTATAAATTGTAGGCAACCCAATGGATGGAAGTTAATTTTGATATTCTGATTCACGTTGGTGTTTTGCCTCATTTTCAATTCGCTTCTCAACATTTTCTACTAATCTTATAAGCATTGTTTGTGCATCAATTTCAGCCTTTAGTATATTGTTGATACCTTCAACTAGTGATTTAAACCAGGTTAAACTGGTTAACTAATAATTAGACTCGTTGAAAAAATCTGTAACCAGTTAACCCTAATTAAAATCTTTAGTTAACTGGTAAAACCTTATAATAGTTTATCAGAAATAATAAAAACTTAATCATATAATTGCAGTGCTATATTCGAATGTTTCGATTTATTTAATATTTCATAGCAATTTTTGTCAATAAAAAATTTTGATTTTGATATAAAAGATTGAAATGAAAGAGCAGTAATGCTTACAATGCAAGTTAGATTTTATCATCCAAATATGTAAGTTTTTTGATTGATTGTATAGTGTAATAAATTAAAATTTTATTTTTTATATTATTGTAAATAATTCCTTTATTTTCTCGGTAAAATACCGCATATACAGAGGTTATTAATAATTTCCCATCCATTTTGGTAATAATGTTCAATTTAGTATATCTATTAATTTCTTTTGATTATTTCATAACTTGTACTAAAATGGTAATAATGGATTGGTTTGGTGGTTTATTATATAAATATTACTCAAAGCACACGACGGTGGATACATAAACATAGCTGTTTGAACTTGTTATGAGGGCTATTTGCATAATCATATGAGAATGATTAAGAAATAAGAGAGTAAATGTCCTCATGACTAAGCAAACGTAGCTGTAGCAGTGTAAATGTAGCCATAGTTGCATAGACATAGCAAAAGTAGTGTAAATGTAGCAGTTGGGAAGTAAACGTAGTCAAAATCTAAAATGTATTTAAGAACCTAAAGTTCAGGCAGTAAAGATTAGAATTTCCTCTGACATATCTTATGATTAATAAGAATTTCCCAGTTCTATCTTATGATTAATAGAGAATTTGTTAGTTCTACTTTATGATTAATAAAGAATACCATTCCATCTTTAAATAAATCGTTCTCTTTTCATTTGAATAAAATATATGCTTATTCCCTTGTATATTGTCTTTGAGTTTGACTAGTAACTTTAATAAACCCTTTCGAAACTCAATTCGACGGACTGAATTGACTTGAAACTTCGACTAGGCTTATTAAGACTCAGATTCTAAACCGATTGTGAAATCAGATATTACTATTCACCTTGGTGACTTGCGAGAATTGTGAGACTTATAATTGGTTATTCGACTCTACTTTGTTAATTATTTATGTGAACTTAAAAATATCTCTGTTACTGTTTGATCATTGTCCGCTTTTACTTCACCGTCTTTATTAAAATATCTCTAACAGTATCACCTATAGTTGCTTCACCTTATTACCACACCTCTAAATATTAATCATAGTGTTATATTGTTTTAATAGACCTCCAATAGTTAGAAACAACTCTCTTTGTTTATCTAAGTTTATATTTATCTCTCTGTATACTGTTAAAATTAAATTGGCCTTCTATCTACATAATCTTATTAAGCTCTCTCAACAACAGTTATAGTAGTAAATCTTGTCCGGAATTTCAATTAATAAATTGTATTCAGATATTTTTACATTTACAGAATACCTGTATATATCATTTATCATATAAAGCTTTTGAAGCATTATTGAATTTATAAGAACACTACTAATATATATTGTTCTAATATCATACTAAGTTTTTATTTTCGTTCTCTATAAGGCCACACAAAGTTAATTTTTCATTTTGCATTACATAGATTTCAAAATTCCCAGTTGGTTGGTTGGATTTTTTTTTTTTTTTTTTAATCTACAATGAATTAATGGGCTCATATTCATATCTAAGGTCATAAAAGGTTATTCTTCATAATATGGAATCAGAAAATTGGATTGGCAGTCGAATTTTTTTTCTGTCAGTTCAATCAGATACTTTCAGAAATAAGGTCACTGTTAAGTAATACCGGATTAATTTTTTGAAAAAAATTTAAATGGTAAAAATAGAATAATTAGCACAATGGGGCTTAAAAAAAATCAAAAATTTGAAAAAAATGGGTCAGCAAGTAATGTAAAGCAAAAAATCAACTTTGCGTGGCCTTATTATAATATAAATAAGTTTTATTTAAAATTTTAAAATTCTCATATAGCATTCCTAGTTTTAGACCATTATAACAAACCTATCAGATTATTATTGTACTTTTGAAAATTCTCGCAGGTCAATGTATTCAACTATATACAATTCTGAAATGTTTTGATATACTTCTATCCATTTACTGATTTTAATGCCTACTAATTTATGATAACTAATATCAGTTTTTTTGAATTATATTCATTAATACTATTAAAATAAATGTTTTTATACTTGTTTTAAAAGAATTGGAACTAAAAAAAAAAAAAAAAAATTTGAGGTTTTTGAAAAATTTGGGTCAGCGGGTAATGCAAAACGAAAATTTAACTTTGTGTAGCCTAATATATCTGGGCCTTTTAATAATATTTCTTATAATATATCAGGCCTTTATATTTTGCCAAAATATTTACCTGTATTATTGACCTGGATTTGATCTATGATAGGTCTACTATTTCACATATACTAGGAATATAGTCATGCTTGCATCACGAAATGTATAGTTTACTGCTATCTAGAATGGGAGTTTGCAAAATCTTGCATTTGATTGGGCGTTAAAATCTATAATTTCACATGTTAATGGGTGTAATACAGTATATATACTGTTATTTATTTATGAGCATACTGAATTTGATATTTGTATTACTCTAAGATATAATACTGTAGGCCTATTCAAAGCTGATTTTTATATTACATAGTGTTTCTAAGTATAGTTAGAATAATCTATAATAAGGATACAGTATGACGTAACTTTTCCTAGTTTAGTCTACTGTTTCTATAATAAGAAACACCACAAAATCAGCTTTGAATATGGCTAGTATGATAGAACGAGATATGAACTATTCTCTATCTCTATCAACTGAATTAATTTTAAAATATACTTATATAACATTCCTGGTTTTAGCGTGACTATCACGCAACTACCCTAATTTATATATTCTATATCAGAGTGACATGGCTAGAGTAGCCTAAAAGTACAGATCACAAGTTTGCCAAGCTATATAGAGAAATCATATAAATAAAATGCCAGATTGCACAAACTGACGTTTGGCTAAAGAATGTGATATTATTATGTAAACAAATATTAGATAGTTTTTTGCCTTTACGCAATCTCAGCATTTCATTCATATAATCCCTCTGCTTAATAGACTCGTATTCATGCTTAGAAACCATGTCATATTGGAGCTATTCGATATTTCCAAATCAGATTTATATTTTTTCATTCCTAGTTTAGCATGACAATGTCGCACAGCTACTTATTATTAAATATATAAAACAGAATTTAAATTGATTCATATTGATAAAATTTTAATTTAATATTTAAAGATATCTATTATCATTGTAAACTAAAATGCCTCTATATATCAATAAATTTTTATTTAAATTTTGAATCAAACCTAAGTACAATATAATAAGTTTTAAGAAAAATAAAAAAATATAAAAAAGTTTATAGAAAAATATAATTCACATTTTCGAATTTATGGTGTTACCTGACTATTATTGCCAGGATATAAAAAAAAAAAAAATTAAAAAAAAAAAAAAAAAAAAAATCAAATTTTAAAGATCAAATTTGATAAAACTAAACATTAATAAAAATGCAAAGAAACTGTTAAAAAATATAAGGTTCAAATAAAATTTTAGATATTGAAATAGATATGAAATATATATATTTATAAGTTAAAAAAATACTATAATGCTAACCAATTTAAGCATTGTTAGGAAACATAGAATTAGCAATTTTAATATTTCTTTTTAAAAAGACTATTGTTTCAAAAAGCTCAGAATTTAAGTGAGTTCTTTTATTGGTCATCAAATTTCTGGTATTAGAAAACAATCGCTTACTAGAAGTAGATGTTGTGGCAATTCCAAGATATTTTCTAGCCAATTGGCTAAGAATTGGAAATGAATCTTTTTGTCCTTCTCACCAAACTAGAGCATTTTGATTACTTGAAATTGGATTAAGAGCCAAATAATTTTTAACTTCGTTTACTACTATTCTTTATAAACTGGACCTAAACATAGCTCATAGTAGATCATTTTTTTTATAATCCTCTAGATTATTATTATTCAATGCATCAGTTTCAGGTTTATCTAATTTTAAATATTTATATTCTGAAATTAAAAGACTTTCAGCTTTAAGCCGATCTCTAGCTATTGCTTTATACATTTTTTTATTATGTGAATCTAATATAGTAGCCAATAAAGCCTCATCAGTAGGTATCTTCCAATAATGATCTAAAGTTTTCAAAAGAGCAAATTTAACTTTATTATGAACTCTGTTTATAACCTGAGGACTATTAATTTTTAATTTTTTTTGAATTATTTCTTCTTCAGTTATTATTTGTTCATAATTATTCTGATCATCTTGTAAATCTGAATCATCATCAAAAGTATCAGACAAGCAAGTATAATCTATAACTTCATCTTTAGTATCTATATTTAAAGTTTGCTTAATTGTCATAATTGCTGTATACATAAATAATATTGTAGAATACTGGCTACTACCTAACAAATTTGTTGCATCATGAAATTGTTTAAGTATTTTAGTAAGATCAGATAACAAAAACTACTCATCTTCAGTTAAAATAATATGTTTTAACCGTTGATAATCTTTTTTGTTTTGTTTATCTGTTTCATCTGCTAAATTGACTTGCATAATAGAAATTGCACGCTTAAGTTTTAAAAGACGAGACCAGGCTAAGTAAGAAGAGTTCCATCTAGTGGATACATCAGCAATTGTATGCAAATATTCATGATTATCAATTAGTATATCCTTTTGTTGAATCTTTAAATAATGTTGTGCTTTAACAAGTCGTTCAGATTGTTTTGAACTCATAAAAAAGTTAATTAATCTTTTAGCTTGTGCAATCAAAACTTTAATAGGATTAAGGCCTTTTCTTACAACTAATTGCAAAGTATGTGATGTACAGGGCAACCATTTTATACTATTCATATAGCTAATTGCTTTAATCATATTTGCTCCATTATCAGTGATTATTACAAAAACTTTGTTAGTTAGATCTCATTCTTTAATTATTTCTTATAATTTAGTTGCGATTGATATTCCTGTATGTGGATATTTAATTTCTTTTATATCAAGTATAATTTCTTTAAGTTCAAAATTTGAAGTAATCTATAAATATGTGACTCCAATATAACCACTATTGTTTCGAGCAGTCCACAAATCAGTGATCAAATTAACAAAAGTAATATTTTTAGATAAAAATGATTTTATATAATCTTGCATCCAATTGAATGCTTGATAAATATATTCTTTTAATTTTAAATCAGAAGGAAGTTCATAATAAGGATCAAGTGATTTAACAAAATCAATAAATGCTTCACTATAAATTATAGAAAGAGGTTGGTTATCTAAAACAATAAACTTAGTTAAAACCTTATTAATAGTTGCTATTCTTTTTATATTATTATATGATACAATTTGAAAAGAATCATCAATATGCATTTGGTTTGAATAATGTAATATTGGCCCACTATCTGTTAAACTATAGACATTCAAAAGATACTATTTCATATTACTTGTAGGATCTTCAGTATCAATTATATGTTCACATTTTTTTCCATTTTTAATTACTTGACATTCTCTATGTGCAGCTTTATCTAGTGAAGATATTTTTCTTTCAAAATGATTCCAAACTCAGCTTCTTAATTGCGATCCACCTTTTTTTCTTCTAGATAATTTGTGTTGTACGATACTAGATTTTGCAGATTTTGTAGTAACAACTGATGTAGATGCCTCTGTTTTGACTCTGAATTTTCTATATTGCGCTTTTGTCTTTTGGAGTAGATTGATGCTTTTTTTTGTTATGTACTTTTACTTGTGTTGTACTAGTAATTTGTTCTTTTTCTAGCTTCTGTTGCTCTAAATTATTATTATTAAGATTCATTTCATCAGCATAACTTATTTTGTTTGTAGAATCTATCTCATTTGCAAAACCTAGTTTATTTTCAAGACTATCAGAATTAGAATCACTTGGTAATTTCTCCATTTATGCTTCAAAAGATAAAAAAAATTTAACAAATACTTTTTTGTAATTGTTGTATTTATAATGCTTACAAATTTTAATTTTATGTTCTCTTATTCTTAATTATACTTAATGCACTAAGTTTGATACTAAATTAACTATAATATTCAAAAGGTTAAAAAGGCATTTCAAGCAATAAATATTATTGGCATGCTAATTATAATATAAGAATTCTTGATATTAGTATTAGTCTCAAGTCGATATGTGCTTTAACAATCATGATACTAATTTAGTTAGACAATTATTTATGCCAAAAAGAGAAAGTTATAAAATTAATTTATTACATATAGCAAGCAAATCTGCGTATGAGTTTGATACCAAGTTTTTTCAATTTAATTAATCAAAGAAGCAGCCCAAACAGTAATAGATAATATATCAGATACTAACAATAATATAGGATACTTGGTACTAGTCATTTCTTTAATACATATACTATTCAAATAGTGGGCTTTAATAATTATAATACTAATTTAGTTAGATATTTAATTAGCATTTAATAAAATCAACATAATAATAATGATAAAAAATCATTTAACCAATCACGATTTATATTTTTACTAGTGAATCATAAAAGATTAAATAAAAACAAAAGCATCAATTTTACAGAAACATTATCAAAATCAAGAATTTAGCGGTACCTATGGAGAAAAATATACAGGTTTAACAAAATCTAATATATAAGGACAATTTTTTACTCGAAATATCTATTAAATGGGTGGTGCTCATTTCACCAACAATCACTTCACTGATGACTTAGTTCACCAACAATTAATTTACCAACAAGTTTATTTTACTGACAATTAATTCACCGACAGCTCATTTCACAGACAAAGTAATTCTGGTCATTGTCATTAAGGTCAGGCTAAATTAGAGTTAAGGTTAGTATAATTTATAAAAAAAACTTGTTGATGAAATGAACTTGTCGGTGAATTAATTGTCAGTGAAATGAACTTGTCAGTGAATTAATTGTCAGTGAACTAAGTTGTCGGTAAAGTGATTGTCAGTAAAATGATACATATCTCTATTAAACTTTGTATATATATATTAACCATTTTAAACATCTATTAAATATTATAAATATCTATTAAACAAAATATCTATTTAACATTGCAAAATAAACCACCAAGAACATCAGATTTTCATAATGAGATCATGGAATCATAATCATGATTGGCATAACCAAAAATTATCTGACAGTTATGCATACATAAGTTAGTCAATTTGGTTAGCATTAGATATGTTGCATACAAAATTTTCAAGAGAATTCAGATCGGAAAAAACTTTGCAATTTGCACAAATCATGAATCACCAGATTTTTTTATATTTAATGCAAGAAATGAGAGTAAATGTATAATTTCATGATCATGTAATATTAATGCCTTAATGAATTCGAGTTTGTCAGAATAATCAATTGCATTAAAGAATTTGAGATAATTATAATTAGTTATTCGAAGTTTCTAAGGAATAGATTATATATTCAAATTTGTGATATAGAATTAGCTTTCAATAAACCAATATTTGTCTATAAGAAATCAAACCATGTTTGTATCCAGTTCATCTATAGAATCCTGCTTTTTTGCAAAACTTTTGTTATGCAAATAGAATCCACTACAATATTAAATATTCGAAATTGATTATAAAGTTTTGAACTAATAGTTAGCTAGTTTTATATGAATAAAAACTATGTATATACAAACTCTGAAATTATATGTATCTTTTTAAAACTTATTATAATAATAAAGCTTTATATTTAGCATTGTTTAGCTAGAAAATATTTACAGTATATCATCTGAAACTAATAATAAAATACCTGTTTTTTATAAAAAATATCTTGATTAATTTTTATTCATCCCGATTATATTAGAAACTTGAATCAATAAGGTTTTTAAATTAAGTTTATTATCTGAATCCAATTGATAATAAAACTTTTACATATAAATGTAGCGATAGTGATAGTGATAGTATCTAAATAACAAGTTTAGATTCAAAAGTAAAGATTACAAATTTAAATAGCATATTGATATTTTTTAGATATAAACCATATTGTACTATATGACAGTGAATGTGACCTAGCTGCAGTTATAAAACGTGATTCAAGCCATATGACTCAGGACTCGAAATGCAGATTGATCGACAAAGCAATGCTATTTAATAATACTAATTCGGGTTTGGCTTGAGGTGATGCACTATTGAGAACAATAGTAAGGTGTTGCTGGTATTCACATGGCGGAAACTAAAGTTATTGTCATGTAAATGAGTATGAATTGCTTATTGTTAGCCATAGATCCCCCTGATATTCTAAATAGCTATATTATAATTATAATGATCTTAATCCTAATAGCAAAGCTCCAATATTCATGATATATAAAGCTCCTTGATTTTATGTAACTAACGAGAGCAGATAGATAGTAGGTAAATAATTAAATAAAGACTATCTAATCCAGAGCAGTAGGATCCTTGGTTCTCAGACCAACTCTTTCACGCCCTCTTTTGAGTAGTCTTCATTTTTGGTTGTTTTTCGACAGTGAAATGTATTTTTTAGACATAATACTATTCTGTTTTTAGTTAAATAAAGCTTATAATAGTTTGAACTATAGTATGACAATTAGCTTAAATAGTATAACTATAAAATAACCGGTTAATCATAGTTAACCATAAAATAACCAGTTAACTATTAATATAACCAGTTTAGTACTTGGCTAAACCGTAATCTGGGTGGTTAACCAGTTAACCTGGTTAATTATTGAATGGTTCAGATCACTACCTTCAACACATTAAGTACTGTTCATACCAGCACAAAAGGTTGAGTAAGTATAAACTAAAGCCTATACATGTCGTGATCTGTGTAAGCAATGCAGATACTTTTTATGTTCAGGAAAGTTGTTTATTAATTGCTGCCACCTAAGCTCAAAAAGCTCTTCACATTTACTATTACGGGCACAATAAAATTGATTAAGAAAATTTTTAAATCGGTCCTGTCCAAGTTTCTGCGCAAGATTTTTGGTAAGATTCTGGCCAATATGAAATAAACAATGCTAATGTTTAGTGTTAGGAAATATATTATGAATAGCGGCTGCTATTCCAGGATCACCATCTGTAAAAATGGTTTGTGGAGTAATGTTGTTGTTTAAGCTTTTTAAGGATTGTAAAATCTATTCAAAGGTGGCCTGGGTTTCATCTTAAACAAGTACTTGTACAAGCATTCTTGTTTGATTATGTGAATCTACTCCTACAAAAATATTCAACAACATTTGGTAGATATTGGTTTTGCAAGTATTATTGTTCACGATTACATCATGAAATTATTTATAAAGCCTAGACTGACTTGGACTCTGCCAAAAAAGGCGAGCCAAAGAAGTATCAATGCCTTTAAAATATTTATTGATCTTTTAATTAGAATCTTTACGTTGCTTTGCAATTAAATACTCAAGCGTTAGTGCAGCATCCTGATTTATGCTAGAGGCAGTGGAAGTTTTATAGCATCTAATAGCATTATAAAGATCCTTAGAGTAAATATTAGTCTTAGAAAATTTGTTGATCAAATAATGCCTTTGCTATCGTGTATTATATTTGCATTTTTGCGTCATAAATTTAATTTTATTTAAAACGTCCTGCAGTAATTGTCTCAATGATGGAGCGAATTCCTCATGATGTGATACTAAGTCATGATTATGTTCTTTAACTAGCTTATTGATATAAACTTTGCCCTCCGTTTTTCTAAAACCAGCATTACATTTCCATTTGCACTAAATTTTTTTTGAAAAGGTTTGTCGGCTCTGAACATAATCAAGAGTATGTTTTGTTTTGGGTTTGCTTGAAAATTCACATTCAAAGCATCATCGAATAACAATTTCGGTTTTATTATCTATGTCTTTCTACCCTTTAATTGGTCTAAATCTATTTTTTTGTTCATAGTGATTAATACTTTCTTTTAATGATTTCCAGGAAGGAAAACTAGTACCAGAAACAACTGTCTGAACAATAATCACTGAATTGTTAGAATCGGTAATACTTTCAGATCCAGAGTTATCAGAATTCAATTCAGCGCATAGTTCATAATTAATAAAGTTATTTTGGTTAACAAAGTCATTATGGTTGACAAAGTCATCGTGGTTGACAAAGTCATCATAATTAACAAAATCATTGTAATTGCTAAAGTCATTGTAGTTGACAAAATCATCATAGTTAACAACATCATCATGGTTAACAAAGTCATTGTGATTAACAAAGTCATCATGGTTAACATAAGTTGGTAAAAAGGTTGAAACTTCAATTATTTCTTCAGTTCCAATTTTGTTTTTTTTTTTAAAAAGGGAAGTAAGTATGTTTTTCACTAGTAATTTACTAATACTATTGAACAGTAAAACTATGTCTACCTGTCATTATCCGGTTGAACTTAAAGTCACTAGTCCCACTTTTTTTTGGTTCGTACTAGTCCCACTTTTTTTTGATTCATACTTGTCCTACTTTTTTTAGTTTATAGATGCTATTAGTTTGAAAATTTAGTAGAAGAACTCCTTCCAATAGTGTACTAATAGTTTACTTTAAGTTGCATTTGCTGAATAAAGTTATGTTGCTTGTCCAAGTTTAAAATTCTTGGTAGTAGTAATGGCAACGATAGTAGTGGTGGTGGTGATAATGAGGTGAGAAGTACTTTAATATAAATTTATTAAAAGGATGCCATTCAATCAGTTCTCTATAAAGTTATTAATGTTGGGTTGTTGTTCTGTCAAGTATAAAATTCTTAACTTTATTAAATATAAATACCTTTTTTATTCGTATACTGCAATTTAAAGAAAGCAAAGATCAATTAACTTCTAATTGCTATATATACTGGTATATCACATGATTGGTGATATCACCACTAGTAAAAAAAGCAAATTCTCTTATAAGAATATGAATATCATTAGAATAATAATAAAGAGTAAATAAGAAAAATATAAAGGTATAATTTGAATTAATGT